GTCGGCATCGCGCCCGCGTCGTCGACGCTCATGAAGCCGCGCTTCGCGAAGGCCGTCCACTGGCCGTTGCGCAGCCAGCGCGCGCAGCCGTTCTTCGGATTCGTCACTCCGTTCTTCGCGTGCCCCGTGGGCACGTCGAAGTTCATGAGGTAGAAGACGCACACGACGCGCGCGATCTCGGCCGTCGTCGCGTCGATGAAACTTCGGCGCTCGAAGACGTTCAGTTCCTTCGTCAGGTCGTCCATGACCCCGCGCTGGCCGTCGACGAGGCGCGTGAGGAACGCGCAGCGCGCGTCGCCCGACGACGGCGCGCCCTCCATGAGGCTCGCGAAGTCCGAGCGGACGCCGTTGAAGAAGTTCTTGTCGAGGAGCGGCCGGACGACGAGCTTGCGCTTCTTCCTCGCCTCGTCGAAGATCGTGCTAGCGTTGCTGATGTCCGTGAGGCCCTTCTTCTTCTTCGCACCCGTCGACGTCTTCATCCTGCAGCACCAGACCGTGGCCAGGACGTTTAGGCCTCGAGCTTCGGCTCAATGATGCGCCTTCACGAAACCGCCGACGCTGATTGGCCGAGCTCAAACGCCGCCCGAGGGCCGGCGAGGCTGCCCTCCCGGCTGGGTCCAAAGCGGGGCCACCGCCGCACGGCGACGCGCCGCGGCCCGAATCGCCGCGCGCGCGAGCTCCCGCTCCATCGCGAAGAGCGAAAGAACCGCGTCGGGACGCGCTCCAGCGAAAGAACCGCCTCGGGACGCGAAACCCTCGAAAAATGGCGCTGCTCGAGCTCCTCCTGGCCCACGACGAGCACAACTACGCCGCGGCGACGCTCGTCGTCGTCGTCGTCTACGCGCTGAGCGCCTACGTCGCGAAGCCCGGCGGCGCCGGCGTCTCGGCGAAGGGCGCGAACGCCAACGTCGACGCGGCGCCCGAGACGCGCGCCGCGTTCGCGTCGTTCCGCCGCGCGTACGTCGTCGCGTTCGGCTGCGGGCTCTGGTGCGAGTTCGCCGGAGCGGCCATGCTCTTCGCGGCGCTCCGCGAGACCTACCCCATCGTCGTCGTCGCCGAGCTCTTCGCCGCGTCCTTCGCGGGCTCCTGGGCCTCGCGCGCGTTCCTCCGGCGCGCGGCGGAGGCCGCGCTCGGCCTCAAGGGCGCGTGCGCGTGCGGCCTCGCGCTCTACGCCTGCTCGGCGCTGGGCACGGCCGTGTCCTGCGACCGCGAGGGGCTCTACGCCCTGCTCGTCGCGTCGCGCGTGCCAGTTTTTTTA